TATTTTCCGTTCGCACAACAATCCCTGGGGGCAGTGGAGTGCTGGGTAGTGTTTTGCGCTTGAATATTACGTACTGGCGCAGTTTGGTACCGTCCGCCAAAGCGCACATTACTGTGCAGCGTAATTTGGTGTTCCCGACCGTCAGTACGTTTACAGATTTTGAGCCCTTTTACAGCGAAAACTGTTATCAGATCACAACTCGGGTCACGCGCAGTTGTCCGCCGCCGCTGCTGATGTGGTCGGTAACCACATCGCGCGAAATTAGAAAAAAATCTAGCACGAATGACACAGCAGGGCTTGAGCCACACCAGTTTTTTTTTTCCTTACATGGTATTTAATAAAAATGCAGCTTACGTATATAAATAGCGTAAAACATATATAGGGTCAAATCGACAAATGTACAAAGGACATTACAAAGTAAATATCATACAACACTATGTCTAAAGGGGTATTTGAATAGCACACTTCATGAATTCAGCATACCAGTCCGGCTGAAATCTCGCAGGTCATAAAACTCCCTTAGCCACACAGTCATTTGCACAAAGTGGCATCGCGAAGATGCCATTGGTTCCACAGGCCTGTCCAACTATAAACTATATATGCATTCCTATTAACAACAGCATGTCAACTGGCATGTCGTTGCATTTGGGTGGTACAAGATAAATAATGCTATAAGAATTTAAATCCAGACGTTTTTCAAAAGCCCTCTGCAGGATGTCCCAGAAAAGTATGACGTCCTTACAACTAATAAAGCAATGTTTGATTGTTTCTGGAACTTCACAGAGGCGGCAGTTAATTGAGGATACAAATATGCCTTTGGTGTATAACCAGGTTTTTACAGGTATTGTTTCTGTATGCACTTTGTAAAAAAAGTCTTGTTTATTGGTGAAATAGGCATTTTCGTTACCCGTAATAGCACGTCATGGCTGAAAAATTCAATATATAGTGAGCGGTAAAGTGGGGCCGGAAAGAGTGCATCCAACACAGCATAATATAAGCATTTTCTTGAGCTACAGAACAAGTACTCATTAGAGAATCTGGCTGTCAGAAAACGTACAGCATCGTAGACTTCACGCATGAGTCCTTGCAGATAAAAAGGCGATGCAAAATTTGTAGATACCACTAAATTTAGTAAAATATCTGCGAAACTCACTTGCAAGCATATTCGAAGCAGTGGATGAGCACAGTCACGAAAATAAGAAAACTGCCACACCAGCTGTCTAATAAACAAGTGTACCAACCCAGGACCACTTGTGCAGAGAGGTCTAAAAACATTGTCTCGCCTCATCGGTTCATAAGTTGATGACCAAATAAAGGTAGCAAATGTACAGTGAAAGTTCTGTGTGTAAAAACTCAAACAACAAAGTATTTGCAGAACGTGAAATATTTTTGTTGAAAAAAAAAAACAGGTTGCATGCATTAGCTCTTTCAAAGATAGAGAGGTTATGAGGAATAGTCATCGGGGCATAGCGCTGTATAATGGGTACATGTTCTTTCCAATAATGTGCACTTGATCGATATGCATCTCATGGAACGCCTAGGTTTTTTGGCGGAACACAAGGCCATTCTATACCCTGAGAATCGGTTGGTGTATATGTCCATGAGCCAAACCACAGTCCCAAGCTTTTAGCAAAGTTCATTCATGCCACTGAAACATTTTCCAAATTTCACGATTGTTTACATCACTAATTTTATACTAGAAAGATCTGTGCAAAAGAACACTCGGTCATCTGCATACGCCAATACCTTTACCTCATTCCCATAAGCACTCAAACCGCGGACGTTACTAGATCGAATTACCTTGAGCACAGTGACTCTTTTTAAAGAGCAAAAAGCATTGGCGACAACGGACAGCCTTGTTTCACAGACGAGTTAAGAAACACGGGTTTGAAAGACAGCCATTAAAAATTAAACGGGTTTAACGTTGATTGCAGCATAGTTTCACACCTTTAAATATAGTGGAGCAACGTTGGCATGTTCGAGAAGAGAAAACAGAAAATAACGGCGAACCCGATCAAGGGCTTTCGCTAAGTCTACTTGTAGTATTGCCAGTTGTTCATATGAGTGTGAACAAGGTCCAATACTGTCCGAGCAATGTGTATATTAGTCTGCATTGAGTGACCTTTTAGACCGCACGTCTGATGAGCACCAATAAGCATCGATATTGCAAATTAAAGTCTCTTTGAAAGTGCCTTTGCAAAACTTTTGTAGTCAACATTGCATATTGTAATTGGTCAGTAGCCATCATAGGGACGAAGTTTATCTCTATCTGAGCATTTCGGAATTAAAACAGTGTGGCTTTTAGTAAAAGAGCGAGGAAGCGTCTCCGGATCCAAACTCAGCGTGAAAATGTCGAGCAGTACAGAGCACAGTTTAATGCTTTGCAAAACTCGCCGGATATTCCATCACGTCCAGGCGTTTTTGACAATGGTAACTATTTAACAGCAAGCTCTATTTTTTGTATGGTGAGTGGCCCATTGATAGAGCCACATCACTTGTCAGTTAGAGGAGTCACAAATGGCAAAAAGTGCGTCACCACATCTTCATTTTCGTTTTCAGAAGACGCACTGAACAATTCTTTGTAATAAGTTCCGAATTCTGACAAATTTCACTGGAATTATTGACCAATAATCCTCCCGAGTAAAGGTCTGGTATAAACTTGATTTTAGCGTTGCGATATTCGTCGATTCAGGCTTGACGTGTGGGCTCCACTGAATGCAAAATGTGAGTATTGCGGGATCGAACACGAGCACCTCTGTAACGTAAAGTGTCATACCTCTGGAGTGTGTTTTTGGCGTTAGCAATTTCGGCTGTATATCGACCAAGAGCCTCACGCTCAAATTCATATAGGTTTTGAAGATTTTGCTTTAGCATGCCTTGTTATAATTTTCTGTAGAAGCCCCCCACAGATCCAATTTCTATAGCTATTGCCCGAACTTCTTGTTTGAATAATTCCCAAGAGGCGAACAAAGGCATGTCGCCCGAGGAACAGTTCTTCAGTGCTACGCGGATGCGTGCAGTAAACTCCTGCTCGCTCACAATTGAGGAGTTGAGTTTCTAAGTGCCCATTGTGGTCTGAAGTTAGATCGTATGTTGCTACCTATCTGCCCCAGAACCGGTGCTTGGGACTTGTTGGCAAACTTGCCTTAGGCAGCTGGCTAGATGTCGAAAAAGCAATCGCGTTAATACGACTTATAAAGCGTTTTAAAACAGCAAAAGAACAACCACTCGTCGCACAATGCGAATAGCGTAACGAGTGGGTCGTCCAATGCTCCAACCCATTATAAGAGCTTGTTCTTTTTCTCTATTAACTGTGGCACATACCCCCTTCAGCCATAATTCCTCATCGTCGTCAGCCACTGCATGAACAATCAGCTCAAAATTACTCGCAAGTGTTTAGCGGATACCAGGCTTCGCAGAAGAATGACGAAAAATAGCAGAGCGAATGCCGGCCTACTACCCCAAAGCTTTAATTAATGCCGTAGTGGGTATCAAGCAAGTGTGCTTGCAGCTATTGCCCAATGAGTGTTGAGAAAAGGCTCTGAAAGGCCACTCTTCTAGCTTTCGCTGTGACTGTGCTGCGCCTTCCGCGCAGGCCTGGTTTTTTTTTTTTTTCTGCATAATGGTGTCCATGGGCATCTCGAAGTACACGGGCGTTCGATCAGCATTTGCTCACCTGGGAGAGCAAGTAGTTGTGCTTCTTCCGCAGCCCGATGACGTAACGTTGATAGCTGAACAGCTTACTCTCGTAGGCGTTGGGAAGCCGCTGGCACATGTCGTTCGCCGCCGCATCGAAAATTCGTGCCAGGCCGTGAATCGTGGGAGCCTTCCGCAGCTCGCACGAAAATCGCGCGAGATGTTCATCTCGCGGACCAACCTTAGTGCTTTCATTTGCTCCATCTTCGTGTACACAGCGTGACTGCAACTCATCCGCTTCTCTGCAAATTTGACAAGCTGTGTCTCAAGAATGGGGTACGCACCAGTCTTCGGGCCGCGAAATGTTCGCTTCTCCTTGTGTGCACTTTTGAGGGAGGCCTTTTTTTTTTCGCCAATCGCGAACGCTAGACTCGTCGACGTAGTGCCTCCTTGCAGCAGCTTTGTTGCCGATTTCTTCCGCAAAAGCTATAATCCTAAGTTTTTTTTTTTGTTCGCGGTGAAAGATCGCTGTTGAGACCCACTCATGGTGAGGCACCATGAGTGGGTCTGCATTTTGTTTCTTTGCCTTTAGTTTCTGCGCTGCCGTATCGGTAGGGATATTAGAGAAGCATGCTGCTTTCAGTGTTTCGTGTTCAATGAGCCTCAAGCATTATGCTTGATTGATTTGATTGATATGTGGGGTTTAACGTCCCAAAACCACCATATGATTATGAGAGACGCTGTAGTGGAGGGCTCCGGAAATTTCGACCACCTGGGGTTCTTTAACGTGCACCCAAATCTGAGCACACGGGCCTACAACATTTCCGCCTCCATCGGAAATGTAGCCGCCACTGCCGGGATTCGATCCCTTGACCTGCGTGTCAGCAGCCGAGTACCCTAGCCACTACACCACCGCGGTGGGGCTAAAGCATTATGCTTGCGTACGAACAGGGCAGTGCCGTTGTAAAATAACCAATTTTTGTGCGTGCTATTCAAGTTATGCTCGCTTGCTTCTTGCGTGATGGTAAAGTAAAACTGGATAACTTTAAGGGCGCTAGAAATAAGAGTAGGAAAACGAAGTGTAAGATATGTGTTTTTTGTTTTCATTCAGCTCTCGTGGAAATGACGCTGCCACCTCCAGCGTGGCGCCGTCGAAGCGGCTGTGGCTCGAACTGACTTACGCAGTCAGGCTTGCTTTCACACCACACCACGAAATCGGTGTCGCACGGACATTTTTCGCTCGCAATCAAGGCTGGTATGGATCGAGTTCGGTTCAGAGGTCAGGCACTCACCGATTGAATGTAACCATGCAACATGTCAAGAGAATATTGACGTGGAGCGGCAGTGCTGCGACACTGACAAACCTGCACGTGAGACAATGTCATGATCCAACCTGTGATCAAGCGGGACCGTGTCAGCCTGTCAACGCTGTCAAGTCCGCGTGCTCCGCACACTGTAGTCCCTACCTGCGCGAGCAAAAAAAAGAGAGAGAGAGAAAGCAACAATGGTCGCCTTAGTGGAAAGCTTACGAGAGAGTAGAACATAAAATATTATTGGATATTTTAAAATTTTATGAAACATATAACTATATGATAAGGTATTCTAGGGAGTTTTAACTAATGAGGGCGTTTTGTTTAATAAAGTGTCATTCTTTAGATATACATTCCAGGTTACGAGGAGTTCTTGAGGGAGGAGCAGTAACGTCGCTTTTTTTACAATATATTGATAAGCACTAGTCCCAGTCATGATGAAGTATATCCACGTGTATATGCAGATGATATAGCATTTTTTTTTTGTTTCAGACAGCGGTATACAATCGAAAAATAATCGCTTAAAAAGTATAAGTGAGCAATTATTAACCGGTTGCAGGATATTCATTTAGGTCTTGATGTTTCAAAAAGCGCAATTACATTTTTACCTTTATACAACCCAGTCACTATTATGTAAGTTAACTTGCAACCTGCAAAATATATCACAGTTGAACTCGGCAAAATATTAGGATATATATTATGATAATCACCTCTTTTGGCATGCGAACATGAAAGGAGTACAGGCACTGAGAGTTTTACGAAGGCTGTGTAGTATTCGATCAAGGATACGGAGAGAACCACTAATTATGTTTTACGAAAGTTACATACATGCAGCATTTCAGTGCACCAGCGGTTTAGCCCTGAATTAGCATTCGGATGTGTTGTATATTCTGGTGCACCGGCTTATAAATTGTGGAAAGGGAGGCCCAAATTTATTCCTTAGATTACCGAAATTAACATCCCATAAGGTTCTCTACTTAGAAACGAGATTATCCTCTTTTCTGTGTACATTTAGGATACTAACTGTGCATTCATTCTTTAACATTTAGGGGAATTCTATAAATATCAACATCATTTTTATGTATACATCACTATGAGCGGCTCTATATGTATCATATTGATTTCAGTTTCATACAGCATGGTTGGGCTTCGTAGAAGCACCTGTTGGACCATTAGATGTTAAACTGAATGAACTTCCTTGCATCGGCAACAAAATACAAATTAAAAAAACGTTTTTCATGATATGTATTCAAATCATGCAAAAAATTTGCACTACTGTACAATAAACTAGCTTCTGGAGAGGCATTTAGGTTGGACAAATGTAAAAAAAAAGTATCATAACTACAGATGCCTCAAACTCTGAAAAACAAAAAAATCCAGCATCGGTATTTTTTTTTCCGCGACGTTGAATCGTGCACTCTCAATAAGACTTCCCAATTTCTTGTCAGTTGCTTCAGCGGAATGACATTATAAAAACTCAGCCCATCAATATCAAGTGTGGCCATAGTTACAGATACTTTATCTGTGTTCGGAACTCACTAAACTAGCTTTTCTCAATTATCACGTGCTTGTCGAACGTTATTATTATCATCAATATGCTCAATTATATCACGAAGTTTTCATTTTCTGTCCCTTACCCACATTGCTCTAATCAGGTCAATCAGGCCATACAGGGACAAAATTAACGAAAATGATGAAATAACGGACGTTCCGGCAAAATGCGCTCTAAGTGATACAATATTCTCAATTTTTCTGACAACAGCCTTCATGATTCATGACAGGTGAGAAGGCGAGTAATCACTTGACCCAGTGAAGTCATTTATCACTCATCTATACGAGTATTGACACCTCTTGTTCTCTTGGCTTAGCGATTTCTGTTGAACGCGACAAGTAGTATAGTTACTTTTATAAAATCATGCTCTCGCTTTCTTTCTTCTTATTTGATTCTTAAAGAAAAAAGAAGAGAAAAGTGAGCCCCGTAACTGTCTGCATCAGGGTGCGACACCTCAAGAGTAGCTCACAAGGGATGGGGGTGAGGAGTGATTAAAAAGATAGGATTAAAGGTATAGATAGAAAGAGAGATGCGCTAAGCCAGCGAGCGAGGACATATCGAGGGGATAGGAGAGTGTGATGTAGTATAGTTGAGTGGTAGTGTCTGTGAAGTGTGGTGGCACCGTGGTGTTATGTACAACGTGCTTGAAGGCGACGGCAGTGGTGCTTCTCGATTGAGCTGCGGAAAGACGATAATGACGTTGGCGCGAAATGTCATGCATGAAACCTCGGCCCGCCAAAAGAACGAAAAAGTTTGCGCGAAAGGTAGCGCTGCCAATGCACGAGAGGGAAGAAGAAGAAGACGAGTCGGGGGCAGAACGAGATCGCTAAATAAATTCATTCAGGCAACCGGAAGGATACCCTGCTAGTGGTACTGCCAGATATAACCAATTCTTTGTCCCCCTTCCTCATTCTTGTTATTTTGTTTTATATATTCTGGTTTATCGCATTCTTCTGCACTTTTTCGCGTTTTTTCAAAGGAACATTATTATTGTTCCTATCTCATTTCACTTTCTTTTTTTTTTGCAAGCGTTGTAAAAAAATTATCTATTATGAGGTACAGGGTGGCCAATCCCCCATGTGGGTATGAGCCAAGATCTCCTAGGCGACAAGACAAGACAAGACCGGGCTGGCTGGAGTTAAGATCATGGGTGTCGCGCGACTGCGGTGTCGGGTTCCGGACTCGAACGCGTGAAGTCAGGCAAGGCCAGGACGCTCCAGCTGCCCATAGTGTACTCGGAGGTACGCGACCTTCGAGAGTTCCGGCCGTGATTGTTCAAGGTCACGTTCCAGGTGTCCGGGCTTCGACTCTGGTCCCGAACCACCCGTTGAGGGTGGAACCTTGCGGGTGGTGATAATCTCCTCGAAACGAGCCAGCATTGGTAAGCGGCCGCAGTTCTTGCTAAGGCAAGGGCTACCTCGTCTTCCGCCAAGCGTCGCCGTGCTGGTCTGTGCGTGAATCCAGTTGCTGAGACATCGCCAGCGTCCGCCGCCTCAACCCAATAAGCCACCGCCACCATGAACGCCACCGGTGACTGTTGATTTCCATAAACATTATAGCTGGACAACTTACAGGACATGTTTTAGTTTGTCAGCTTAGATTCCGTGTCTGTACATTGCAACTTCATCTGTTTTTTTTTCCCTCTTAATTATGCCTGAAGTTTTTACTTCTCTTTTTTTGCTTTAAACGGCTTTGCCATTTCTCAGCTCTGAGGCTTTTTCTCCGAGCAACAATTTATTCAACCGTAGACCTGCATCCCAGAGAGATCGGAAAGATGGAAACATGGTCCCAGGAGTCGAGAATTGGGCACCACTTGCGAGGGCTCTTGTCGGCGATAGGAGCTGGCGTAGGGCTAATCCAGGCGGTCAGAGTCTCGCTGACGTCGTCGTAGGGGACCGGCGGCAGGGCGTGGCGTAGAACCAACCCAGTCGGCCAGAGCTACGCTGTCGTCGGAGATCGCAAGGGCGGAACCGGTCGGCACGGAATCCAGCGAGAGAGTTCTCTCGCTTTCCGAAATTGAACTACAGTATATACATACAGAGGTGGTCTAGCTCATTAACCTCTTTGCTAGTGTTGTAACTAGGACGAAGCAACTGAAAATTATTTCTTATCATGCATCCACTTCAACTTACGTGGGGGAAACATTTTTTAAACGGCTTTTCGTTGAATCGGAATAGATTTTGTCAGTTCAAATATTCTATCTGCGGGATCCCCTCATCGTCATTGTCACTGAAACATCCGTTCTATGGTGAAAGTTTTTTAATGATTCAGGGCGGTGTTGACCTGAACTAAGTTAGCGTCATTAAGCGTGTTTACCTGTTTACCAGGCAAACACGCTTATATACATACACGCAGTGTATGTATATTTTTCATCTGGCAAATCTCTAGAGTAGCCTGGTTTTGCAGCAGACTTGCGTCTTTGTACGCACGTGTAGTCTCCACTGGTAACTCTAGTTCCATAAAATGAAAGCCGCAGATACCCCCTGAACAAGACTCAAATAATATTCAGAAGTATTTCACTTCGTTAATGTTTTCATGCATCGAATTAGCCTACAACTGCGTAATTACATAAGGTACCTGCTACAGATCATTCCAACGCTGTGCCTCCATCCACAAACGACTCGTCATTGCCTTCCGAGTTTGCAGGTGCTCCCTCGCAATGCGGGGTTTCCTCTGGGTTCTCAGGTGCATCTTGGTTGTCTGTAAATTGTCGCGCTTCAAGTGCTTTGCCTTGATGATATGGCTTTGGCTGCTCGCATCCTGGTTGTGAGACCAGACAAGAAAATGGAGGCTTTTGGTTGCTTTTTTTTTTCTGTGGTCTATGCTGGAAAATACTTGGCACTGCAATCCACTTCAACTTCTTTTTGCCATCCACTCTTGGTTTCTCAAAATCATCCGGAAAGAAGTGGTTCTATTGATAGTCCATCAGGAAAAAATGTGATTGATGTTACTTTGGCCTATTGTTTGAAAATGCTTTAATGGTCTTGAGGAGTCATTGAATAGGGATTATAGTTGCTGCCAACATCTTGAAAATATCAGTTTTCGTTGTTGGGGCCCCAATCACGTTCCTAAATCATCAGAGGCGTTTTCATGTATGCTTTCTCACTGTTTCCTAGTTTCAATTGCAAAACAGGATAAAAGGGTGCTATCTCAGATGAAAAGGCAGGCATGGGTGCCCCGAGTTGTGTAGTACAACAGTGAGAGAAACAAGAGCACAGTTGAATCAACACTATAAAAATGGACTAGGCACCTTCATTTAGAATAAATTTATGCAAACGGCCATCCACATTTATTCAGTCTTATAAGTTGGAATACAAAGGCGAAAACCTGTTGACGAAAAAGGAGAAAACCTCTGCACCCTTCCGTTCAAACTTTGTATGTACAACTAAACCAACTTTCCCGAAACGCATTCTGCAGACACACTAATATTAGTGGCACTTTTTCGCCATTCTCAGTTGTGTTTCTGTCCCGTTAATCGGAGGCTTGTCATGCCGTCAATGTCGACTGGTTAAACGCTTCACACAATAAATCTCTGTTCGTATGAGTGTAGCACGCAATTGCTCGAACAAGCCGCGCAAACAGAATGGGTAAATATTTCAACCGCATAAGAGCATACCCAGCAAACCGCCGCATCTCTCATACAACAGTGCTAAGACGCAATTGAACAAGCAAACACACACGAGCTGTTGTACCATTTATCTCACCTATCTGCTATTCTAATCTGGAGAGCAAAATTATTTATCACGAACTCGTCCAACTTGTAACGCTGCTTTTATTGCACTTGGAGACTTCAGCAACTTACCTCGCACAAGCTGGTGTTCTTCGAAGACGCGAAGCTCTTGCGGCCGATTCTGTGCAGCCATGCCGAATGTCGTTGCTGGTCGTTTTTTTTTTCAGCTCAGAATGCAAAAAAATGCCTTCCCAGACTCCATTCGGTTGCTGCACCCGAAGGCGCAGCAGCCAGTCATGGTTCTGGCACGTACGCTTGCTGATAATCCGTCCAAAATACGTAGCTGGCACGTTGAAATCCGTCCGCAATGCTCGTTCAACAGCGAAAGAAACGTCTCTGCGCGGGAGCGCCCAAAGTGCTTGGAAGGGATATGGTGAGGGGAGGTCACGTGAAACAAATATCCCAATCACCGCGGCTCTACGGCAGCGTCGGCGTGCGGCTAACAGATGCGATACTCTGATTTTTCTTTTTCAGTGACTCTACCATCCACCCATCCATCCATACTGTAAGCTGGATATCGATGTTTAGGTGGTACCCCTCTCCTGAGTGGCAATTTACTCGCATCAGTACTATCGTTTTAGGGGCGCAGCTCTTTCTCTTTATAGCGGCACCCGTTTGTCCCTCTTAGTCGTAGTAGTAGTGTGTAACCAGTCTTACATTTTGACCTCCAAGGTGGTGCCGGTGGGAGATTTCTTCTGTGCGTTGTTGAACAATAAAAAATTCGCAGCGTGCGTGTTACTAAAAGCCGAATTCTCCTGTCTCTCATTCCCCCTTAGCAGCCATTGGCATATGCATTGAGCACTATCTGACAAGAAAGGGTTGCTACGTTATACTCGCTGGGCGTAACCTCCTTGGTTTTAGAAAGGTTTAGCGAGCGTTGGGCTGCGGTGCCATGAATACAGTGAACTAGTATATACCATGAACTCGAGGTGGTTAAAGGTGGGAAGTAGACACGAAGCGGGAGCCGCAAGAAAGTGTACGTGTGCCCCCCCCCCCCTCGTTCAGTCCTTGGAATGTCCGCTGAATGGCAGTGCTTCTATATGAGGAATATATGATGAAAATATGCGATATGGTGGTACTTGGAGTGTTGAATAGGTGGATGAACGGACACACAGTCAGATGCATGGACGGACGTACGGATGGCTGCACGGACGGATGGACGCATGGACGGACGCAGGAGCGGATGCATGGACGAACGCAGGGACGGACGCACGAACAGACGCACGCACGGACGGGCGGATGGACGCACGGGCGGCTTTACAAACGCACGCATGCACGGACGAAAGCAAGAACGAATGGACGGACGGATGCTTCGCCCCACTCTCCATCATTCACTCCGCGGATATGCTGCCATTTTCTTTGCGTTTTGACCGCCCTTCTACTCATTCGACCGCGGTAGTCATCGCCACCCTACTAAGCGTTTTGCGACGGGGCCACCAGAGTGGTTTCCGCTCAAACCACAAGTACTGTTTGCTGACATATGTTAGCCCTACGCGTATTACTAATTAAAGGTTCGTCGTTACTGTAAATGTTATTCCGTTAAGTTCAGCAGAAATGTCAGAGTACTGAGAAAAATTTTCCAGAATCGTCATGTTTCTCAAGTAAAACTGGTAACATTATTGTTGGGCGTAATGATGGGATAGACGAAGAAACTCTCAAATCGACGACTATGACACAATAACGTAAGTTCTGTGGTTCGTGTTTGGTCAGCATTTTAAGGGACGGCTCACTGCTCTCCCATAGTCGAGCGTAAAGCGCTCGAAAGCGGTACTCATTCTGAACTCACAATATGACACCGGGGACATCTGCAGCTTTGTTGCAGTGAAACCGGTGAAAACCTTGGTCAATGTAGATGCCGTGAAGCGCGGATGCTTGCCACAACACACCAATGGCGTATATAGAAAACAAAACGCCCCCACCTCCTCGCGCGGAATCACGAGTAAAGGCATTCAGTAGCGTCGATAACGGCGTTAGAAAAATAATGCTTTTTTTTCTTACACCGTCCCACGTGGCATTTTTCTGCCGCGAGAAACTCGGTATGCGTTTCCAGCTCTAGTAGCTAGCGTGCACAGTTATGCTATGGAGAGAACAAAACGAACATCGTTCTCGGCTTGCTGTTGACGTTTCACATCGGCGTATCGAGCCCACATTTCCGGATCTTCGGCTCGGCGTTGGCGTTTTGCAGCGGCTTACAGAGCACGGAGTTCGCTAACGGTAGCTCGCTTCGCTCGCTTGCGTTCGGAATCACGCACTCTTCGCTTCGCAGCCTTGTTTTCGCTTCTTCTCCTCCAGTTGATGATGACGTTAAAGCTACTGCAGTGACGTCAACTCCAGCGAGAGGTGTAATGCTCGGGTTGGATTGTGTTACACTTCTTGCTAGTGGTACCGCTGCCCCCAGACATTCGCCTTCACCCATAGAGTTTCCTAATATTCATTTTTAGGAAACTTTATGCCTTCACCGACTTCTGCCATCGCCTTAAGAGGCGCCCAGCCAGCGAACAGTCGATAGTGAGGCGCGCGCTTCACTCCATCGGATGACAGAGCGGGGCGCAGGGAGGAGAACGAGCGAACGGCGAGAAAAGGAGTGCCGAAGGATTCCACCTGTTCTTGAATCTGACGGCCATAATATCAGCGTCTTATCACCACAAACGTTACACAAACGCTGGCAGCACAAACGCTACAAACGCGTTTCAAACGCACTGCGTTGAGGCGGTGGCAGGTCACGTTCAAGCCAATTAAGGAGCTGGCGGCTCCAGTTGCTAGGGGCGAAGATAAGCGCGCACCCGCAGCTGTTGCTGACACCTGCCGACGCCGAAGCGTGACATGGTGAGAGCTCCAGTTGCTAGAGACGCGCGCGCCGCAACTGCATAGCTACAGTCGAGGGCGGTGGACAGATCCCAACGGACACCTGGCATAGCCCGTCTAAAGCCTGTTTCACATGTGAGCGATTTTGCTCCAAGAGCGGAGCGGCAGCTGCCGCGCGAGGCCAAAACAGCTTTCTACGGCGGCGACAGGACGCCATCTTGAATATCGCCAGAGTTGGAAAAATTCGCTAGCGGCACAAGCAGCTGAGCGACCAGTGACGTCGTTTGACACGTGACGACAGAGGCGGAGTCGAGTAGTTGACGCGCGCGCTGCGAGGAAATGGCTCCACCGAACAACTCGCTCCCACCGAGTAGCAGACGACTTACGTCCTCTGCCAGGCTGACTAATGTTTCACGCTGCTTTCAACAAGTCGCTGATTGAAGTTGTGAAACGATCTCTTTTTTGGGACGTCAAGATGGATGATTTCCGCAAGAAGCATAAGAAGAGCATTCTTTGGGAAGAAATTGCCGAAGCCACATACTTCCATAAAATAAACGTCGTCGCTTGAACTGGCCATGTTCACTGGTGAAGTCGAAGGGCAGGTTTTTTCCTTTCGTTGCTCTCGACGATGTTTTCAGCGGTGTTTAAATCACGTGCGGTGCCTTTTTTTATTTCAATGATATTATTACTACTTTCTTTTTTTGCGTTTTCATCGAAAGTTACTCCCGCGTAGAGGAGCCGCTTGGCACGTTGTACTTCTATGTTGCAGCAATTCTTACTGGTTTAACAAACGATGAAATTCGGTGACGCGGTGCATAGATGAAAGGCTTCACACGAACGAGAGAGCAAAGACGGCTGCTACGGTAGTCCTCTTGAGAAGTAGCATTCCACACGGGTCACTGAAAAGGAATTTCGTGATGTGACTCAACAAAGAAGGGGCGCGAAGCTTCCTGTCATGGTTCGGGAAAATAAGGCACTCATCATGGGCCTTTATTTTTGTTCTCCCCTTCAACAACACCTTGATTTCTCACTAAAACCCTGGCTGACTTGTCCGCGTCCTCTGCGACGCTTTTCTCGCAATGAGCGAATGCACTGCAGAGCGCTCTAGTTTGCAGGCTGTCGACAGGTCCTGCCACACTGGCCAGCTGCTCTCCGTGACACTTAGGGCAGGAATGAGCGGCTGGCTAGGCGAAAATTGATTTTCGGTCGCGAGTACAACATACACTGCGTAGATAACGAAGAACGCTGTTGATTTCAGGCACCAGTGCTGCAACACATGCCTAGAAGCATGCATCTAAATTACACGGTCGAATGCTACCAATTGAATGTCGCCATGTGCCGACAACAAAGGTGTGTTGTGTGAAATGATGTGATACTTCAGCTTTTCTGCTCACCACCGCAACATTTATGGACGCAAATGCAAGCTAAAGCAAGAATTGCTGCGTAGTCTCTTACCTGCGCCGCCCACAAGTGTATATACAGCAGCCAAAGAACCGGGACAACGAGCGTATCACGTATACCATGGTATACCTGCCGTTGGTGAAACTCTTCCTGGGGTGCTTTACTGAATCATCGAAAAACCTACGAGGCTTACTATTTATGGTGGAAGCATGCGAATTCGAGGGCCAGAAGAAATGTAAACCATTCGAAAAATCCCTATGAAGAGTGTGTTCGCATATGCCACAGGGTGACCACAAACACGGCCGAAGCTTACCACTGAGAATTTTTATATAAAATTTTATTTTGACTCGAGCGGATAGGTACTGGGCTGACAGAAACCTCGTTCGGCGTCCCAAAGTTCAATCGCTGAAAGCAAAAGCAATGAATTGGAGAAACATGGGAAGTGCTCCACAAAACACGCTCGCAGTTCTTAAGCATTCATCTAGCCGGAACAGTTGTCTAATAAAATCATACCAGCAAACTCTTTCATTTGCTTCTCCATTGTCAGTTATACGAGTGCGCAACAAAAATCATACGTTAAAAAGCCAGGACAAAACAAAAAAGCGACTGCTAACGTTGCTTATTCATGTTACGCTTGGTTCAATCAGTGTACAGACGCGTAAAAGTCGAGCGGCTATTGATGATGAACCTCGCAGCACACGAGTGCGAAAGGAAGGACACTTGGAGGAGAGCGCGGCTTTTAGATAGCACTGAAAACAGTGGTTGACCGGCATCTTCCGCGGACAACACTGCCCGCCAGAGCGGCGGGCGTCGCGCAACAGCAGCGGTTGCAGCGGCGCATGTGAGACGAACGCGCGTCCACGCGTCCTCCTGCCGCTCATCGCCGCCACTCCATCGCTCGCATATGAAACAGGTTTAAAGTGGCATTGCGGCAACAAACTACTATGTAATCGGTTAATATCCCCGATGAAATTATGCTGATCAGGAGACCGCTGCATTGGAGCAGTGGTTATGGAGCTCGGCTTCTGACCTAGAGGTCCCGGGTTTGATCCCGGCCGGGTCACAGGGTAGTGGGCCTTCAGCTGTGCAATGTCAGTGCACGGTAAAGAACACCAGATAGACAAAACTTTCGGAACCCTCCACTGAGGCGTCTTTCATATTAATCTCGTTATTTTGGAACGTTATACCCCAGATAAAGTTATGCTGAACAGGAAAGCAGAGTAGA